GCTGGCACAGTTTTCGAAAATTTAGGGCCACTGGGTCTTTGGGCCAAATTTGGAAGGGAACAGTTTGCAGAATAAACCGAGGTAGGCCTGGCCGGAGTGGAGCGATGCCCACTCTGGAGCTCGCTTGCTAATACGAGAAAAAGAAGGGATTTTCACCGAGATCCACGCTTTTCTCCCTCCACGGGGGATGAAACGCGTTCACCTCTCCCTCTTTCTCTTCCTGTCTCTCTCTCTTTCCTCATTGTAGAGTTGATTTACGAGGTTCCATCCGGGTGAAAGAGGCGACCGACTTCTGTTTGGCCACGCGACCCTCCGCTCGAGATGGAAAGAGAGATCGCCACCCCCTCGAGACGGTTGACAAATAACCTCGAGAGAGAGCGACTCGCCCACCCGCCGTCCACTCTCGCGACCCGATTGAGATGTTTTCAAAATGTTTGCAACTGTTTGACAGAGGGCGCGTGCCTTGTCGCGCGCTCAACCTTCTTCGGGATCTTCTCACGCTCTCTACTAGATTTCTCAGGTGATTTTTCGATAAACAGTTTTTTCTTCCCTTCTCGAAATTTTCTCTCCCTTCGAACGTTAATCTTCTCTCGATTTTCTGGATTGGAAAGTAAAGTCGCAGTGTTAAGAGATTCTTATGCGGATTTCTTTATTCTTGCCGGGAAATTATTCTTACTTTTTTCTTTTTCTTCACTTTTTTTTCGAATGGAAACAATTTTACGGAGGAAAGGTAGTATATAGCGAGGAATAAAACGGTGGTTCGATGGGCAGAACGTATCGTAACACTTGTCAAGTACCGCTTTCCATCCAGTGTTGGTTGAAAAACACGATGGCGGACCATTTGTTCCTGTTAGAACGGGGGAAACGAGGTGTCGAGAGGCAAATATTCCACGTTACGATTCCGCTCATTGTTGCTGAGTAAATTAGAAAGTTATTAGCGGCCAATTGAGCGTCGATTAATATCCTCTGGCAATATAAGTAAAGGTGCACGCCTCGCGTGACAGACGCGTTACACAGCCTCCGCCTATGGGAACATTCTATACGGGTGTCAGTTGCTCCGTGAAATTCTCCATCAATCTACAAAATTATCCGACATATGGCTGCTGGTAAAGCTGCTGGCTTTTTTTTTTTTCACATCTCGCGCGAGAGGTGCCACTTCCGCTCTACTATTTGAATATTCGTTAAAAGCGTCTTAAAAAACACAATTTCTTTCAAATCTCTTTTTCATTATTACAGAAAAAGAAAATCAAGATTTTTAATTCATCGTCATTGCGTTCCAATCACCATTATCCGTGACGATTTTGATATAATCGCCCATGATAATTTCTCTCCAACTTTTAATCCACCTTTCGTTTCTTAATTACAATTGGAGGAAAAAGAAAATCGAACGAAAGGTTTTTAATTCATCGTCTCCATATTCCAATCATCATTATATCCATGACAATTTTCATATAATCGAAACATCGTTCACAATAATTTCAACTTTTAATTCACATTGCTTAATTACAATTGGAGAAAAAAGAAAATCGAACGAAAGATTTTTAATCCTTCGTCGCCATGTTCCAATCATCATTATAATAATCAATCACCATTATTTCCATAACAATTTTGGTGTAATTGAACGAAACATCGCGCCCACGATAATTCCCCTCCAATTTTTAATCCACGTTTCGTTCCCTAATTACAATTGGAGGAAAAGGAAAATCAAGATTTTTAATTTATCGTCATTGTGTTTCAATCATCATTATCCATGACGATTTTGATATAATTGTCCATGATAATTTCTTTTCAATTTTTAATCCACATTTTGTTTCCTAATTACAATTGGAGGAAAAAGAAAATCGAACGAAAGGTTTTTAATTTTAATTTATCGTCTCCATATTCTAATCATCATTATATCCATGACAATTTTCATATAATCGAAATATCGTTCACAATAATTCCAACTTTTAATCCACGTTGCTTAATAACAATTGGAGGAGAAAGAAAATCGAACGAAAGATTTTTAGTTCATCATCGTCACGTTCCAATCATCATTATATCCATGACAATTTTCATATAATCGAAATATCGCTCACAATAATTCCAACTTTTAATCCACATTGCTTAATAACAATTGGAGGAAAAAGAAAATCGAACGAAAGATTTTTAGTTCATCGTCGCCACGTTCCAATCATTATCCATAATAATCAATGTTTCGATGTAATCGCTTAAAATTGATCGTGAAAAAAGATAATGGAAACATCGTCCACGATAATTCCAACTTTTAATCCACATTTCGTTCCCAAATTATTCCCAATTGGAGGAAAAAGAAAAATCGGAAACGAAAGATTTCTCTTCGAAGAAAAAAATATATTCCAATAAGACGATTGGTCACGATCCAATCACGAAGGAGTAAGGGAATCAAGATTTCTCGCCACAGAAAGTTTATAAGTAGGGTTGAAAGGAATTAACGGCGAGGAAAGGTGGAGATTCCTCGTGGCTGATTGCCACTCTCTGTGACCCCGAGCAGCAATTTCCTCGGCGAAAGCTCGCGAGGATCGGACGAAAATATCCCACGACAGACGGGTTGTGACGTGTGTGGCGGAGGAAGGGGTCGAATCTTGCCATGGAACGCGAAAAAAACGGAAGGAAAGGAGGAGGGGAGGGAGAAGAAGAAAGAAAAGACAAGATTGCAACGCCCTTCCCCATTGGGGTAGGCGGGGTGTAGCCGGTGGAGGCGCCGGTTCAAAGTTCGTGGCATACGTATGAATTATGCATTCGGTGCAGGCTGTGTGTAATCGCGCGGTGCATCATTATCCCAGAGAAAGTTTCTGTTACGATTCCATCTGGCATGAGATATCCGTGGAACCGATGGAAAAATGGAGGTCTGATTGGCGAGGATCGTGATGGTTATTTCGATCGAATACGTTCCAAGAATTGGACAGCCACTGTTTGTTTTTGAACGGATTGACACGGACGGCGTGGAGATTTGCGGAGAGAAGGATTGTCGAACGATGATTGCGGTTAGGTGGGATAGAATTCCGAAGGGATTGAAGATTCGATGATTCAATTTTCGACCGATTATTCGATTCCTTTTCAGTCTTTTATTTCTTCGTTTTGACGGCTCGATATTTTGACAAGATTATTTGATACTTGATATATTTGAGATAAGGGGAAGAATGAGCGGAAAAACGTCGGGCAAAAAAGTGATTTTTGTAAAGACCTGTACGTGTCTGTACGATGAGAAAACTGCGGCCAGGATTAACAGAGAAAATGAAGAAACTTGGAAAGGTACGTTGTAGAATTAGAGTTTTCTCTAAAGTTTGGATCTACAAGTTTGGATCGTCGAATTCTTATTATTCTTATATCCGTTTAGGCTTCGTAGCTTTGGAAAAATATAAAAGAAGTTTGAAGAAAGAGGCTTTAAAAGTGAAGGATAAAGATGAAAAGGTTAGAGACGATTCGAGAAAATAATATTGATAAAACGTTGCAACGATTTTTATAAATTTATTTTGTAAAGTAGGCGATCGAAGAAGAAAAAAAGGAGTACGAGTTAACGAAATGGACGAAATTGAAAATTCTTCGACAAAAGAGAGAATATGAAATGTGGAAAGAGTGTTGGAACAAATATAAAGTGATGAAATTTTGCACAGCTGTAATGAGGTTGAAGGTAAAGAGAATATTACACGTGAAAAGAGAGAGAAAGAGAGAAATAGAACGGGACAATTTTAATCTTTAAATATTTTTAAGATCTCTTTATTGAAAGAACAATGGCGTCGCAGTTGCCATTTCAAGGAAAGGAAACAAAATGGGCAAAAGATCCGTTCGAATAATATCTTAAGGTATTTTGGAATCGTTTTCGATTAAAAATTATTAACAAACGACATTTTGACACATTTGAGATACATTTTTACAGAATAAGATGGGAGTACAATATACCCGAGTCATTTTCACCCGATTCTAAAATCTTCGATAAAGTTAGTTTCTTTTTTGTGGATGAAATCTTTCTAAATCTTTTAAAATTTTCAAAGATATTCTAACTCGAATTTTTAAGTTTTCTTAAATCGAAAAAAAAAACAGATATTGAAGAAAAAAAAGGAAAAGAAGAAGCAGGAGAGGCTTCGAGAACAGAGGAAGATGGAAATTATAGCAAAGATCATTCGCGAGATGAACGACGAAATTCTTTCGAGGAAACCGAAATACATATGTTCGAAGAGTTATAAAATTAAAGAAATCACTTCTGTAAAAAAAACTTCTTTCGAAGAGGTTCGAGACGAAAAGTTCGCAATTGTGGAAAAGGATAAAAATATTCCAGTGACGGAGGGACAAGTGGCGGAGGCGAGTGAGAAGGACAATAAAATCGAGGATTTGAGACTCGAAGAAAACGATAAAACGAATGAAAAAGGAGATGAGATAATTTTGAAAAAAATTGTACTGAAAAAATCCACCAAAACGACGTTGAAAACGTTCCCGAAAGATACTTGCTTCTATGCAACTCCAAGTGTTATCATTTTTGAGGTACTCGATCTTTTTCTCTTCTTTTAAATTGTCAACTATCGCCTCTGTTTAATCAGGATTTCGAGGCGAAAGAAAAGTATTCCCGTAAAGTGATCATCACAAATAAAACGTCGAAATGGGCATACATACGATTCCACAAGGTGTACACCGAAATATGGGAGCCGGGAATCATCGAGGTTTCTATACTTTTACAAGTTTTTTAAAATTTCTAAAATTAGAGAGGACTTACTCAAAACAATTATTTTGGACGCAGGTCGAAATTATGGATGCTGCAAGGGTTAAACCTGGCTTGCACGTGGTGATCAATGTAAAATTTTCACCGATACACGAAGAGGAAGTGACGGCGGAGATTGCTTTCCTCACCCTGAGTCCAGATTACGATAATAATTTCCACGAGTTTCGCGTTCACGTTCATTGCACACCGCAAATTGCCGAACCAATTGTGGAGCCCAAGGAGCTTAGGTGAAAATTGAGGCTAACATTCGAATAATTTTCTCGAAATTCCAAGTTTCTGACATTAAATTAAACGTCGTTGAAATTGGTGACGACAGATTTCCTTCAGCTCCGATCTGGAAGTACGACGATCCCAAGTTGAACGAAAGAATTCTTACGGTCTACAATAACGGCAAAAAGTCATTTTCTATCATAATCCAAGAAAGGAAGGAACGAGATCATTGCTTCTTATGGCGCTTCGAGCAGGATATAATATTAAGCGAAGAATCCTCTACGTTGTGCATAAGTCGGTTCAGATATTTTGATTAATCGAAGAAAGAAAGATGAATCCTAATGAATTCTCGAATGCACGATTTTAGGCAACGAAGAAGGGAACGAGAATATTTTGGAGAGCGAGAAATCTCGAAAGTTGTATCAGATCGAAGTTCTTCCAAAATTTAAGTGTGATTTCGTAATTATTTTTCGACCAAAATACGTAGGTCTACACCACGAGATCTTGGAAATTAATTTCTTGAGCGGAAACAGGATGTTGGGGAAAAAGGTTCGCCATTTCCCCAATACGAATAAATTAAAAACATCGTGTAACATTGGATTAGTGAAATAATCTCACCCGTTTCCTCGAAACAGAGTATTCCTATTTGGGCCGAGGTTTTGGGCCATCAAATCCATCTGGATCCACTTTGCATCGATCTAGGCATCGTGATGATCGATTCGGACGTTTCTCAACAAACGTTCAACGTTTTCAACATTGGTAACCTTTTTTTCGTAAAATCATCGGTGATACCACTGATGATATTAATTAATCATACATCACGGTATCGATCGATATTCAGGGCATACAATGGTCGAACTTTTAATAAAGACACCGAAGAATTTGATTGATCACGTGTCAGTTCATCCGAAATCGACCACCATAGATGCCAAATCTCATTGCAAAATTAATGTGAGATTGATACCCGAATCGAATATCATTACTTCTTCTAAACGGTACGAATATATATTAATTCATAAAAATGTGCAAACAAATTCATAAAAATTTCTACATTTTTTTTTAGATTTTACAATCCAGTGTCCAACATATTAGAGTTTCCGATCAAAGTGCAAATCCTGTCGCAAGATTCAGAAAGACCGCCGCCATTGATAATGAAAACCATCGCCAGTCTAACACCTTGTAACGGTTTGATATTAGGTATGGGTGGTAACAAATCGTTTGCACGAAAATTCGTAATCCCTTCTCCTGTTCCAACAGAACCAGCGAGTATCGATCTAGGATTCGTTCACACACACGAATCTGTCTTCGCGGAATTAACGCTGACGAACGAGTCGCTGTTGATTCAAGAGTACGCTTTTATAGATCTTCCGTTATCTGCTGATATACAACCGAATAACTTTGGATTCATTCTCCCCGGAGAAACTATCAAGCTTCATTTGATCTATTCCCCGTGCCCGATGGATATCCCTGGGAACAAAATTGGGGCGAACGGATTGGCTGGTCAACGAAGGTAATTTTTCAACGAAGGTGTATTTCCAAAAAAAAAAAAAAAAGAAGAAGAAAAAAATATACATACATTCCATACGAAAATATCGACGAGAGATCTTTTTCTTTTCTCACAGATTTCTAGTGGAAGTTTTCACTTTGGCCGAGCTCGCTGGGAAAAAGAAACAATCGATGCTGAATCAATTGAAGAGTCGGATGAACAAGCAAATGACGATTTTTGAGTATCGCGGGATTCCTCCCCCGTTCCACGTAAATCTAAAGAAATCGAAAATAGTGCGTCAACTTATCGATCGAGATAATAACAACAAGCTTAAAGACAACACGGAGTTAGATGAGGCGAACGACAAGCATCCTTGCGGTAAAAAATTATATTCTGGAAGAGGATAATTTCGTTTTTTACACGCGCATTAAAATTTTTTTTTATACAGAGGAGGAAGACAAAAAGAGATTGTTGGACGATACGATGGAAATGTACGATCTGGACGAAAGGAAACAGAAGAATTTGATAGAGGTTTACGCGTACATCATAGATACTTTTTGCGAGTTGAGCGAGCAAATTATACAATTTCCCGCGACCCCTTGTGGATCTTATTCCATGGTAAAGATAAAAAAAAAAAGGTGAACGAGTCTTTTATAAGCAAATAAATATTGATATATTCAAGAAGATATTTTTTTTTTTTTTTTAATTTGATTTTTAAGGTGTCCGTTCATCTGAGAGGATTCAATTTGGCGTCGTATCCTTATTGCACTTGCGGAATCATCAAGGAACAACGTAAAAAATTCACAGGTTGTTACGAATTTACCAGCTCCTCGAATAGGATGACTATTATGCCACACTCTGGCATATTGCAGAACGATGAAATTATTAATATTAATTTTATGTTCAAACCAAAATTACCGAAAAAAATGATCTTCGAGGAAGGTCTTAGATTAAAGATGAACACGGAGGAGCTTAATGAAAATCAGGAGGTAAAGTCTGAAAAAGAAGAAAAATCGAAGAAAGGTGATTTGATTATTAAAAATATATATATGTGTGTGTATAGTGAAAAGAAAAAGTAATTTTTTAATTTTTCAAAAGCGAAAAAAGAAAAGAAGAAAGTAGAAGAACCTGAGATCGATATGTCGGCTGGTGAGATCAGTTTATTGGAAGTCTTCGAGCCTTGCGTTTCCACGATTTTCGTAACGTGCGTGATCAACATAGAGACGAAAATCGGCGCGAAACACGACGAACGATTATTTGCAAAATTAATATGCCCGATCATTAAACCCGAAATCGTTATTTTAAATGGGGATCGTGTAATAGAATTCGAGCCGACAGCGATTGGCATGTCCTCCAGAAAATTTCTCTTCGTTAAAAATATTTCCACTCAGTGAGTATTGCGAGCGACAAAATAAGAATTAAGAAAAACAAAAAAAAAAAAAAAAAAAAAAAAAA